AGGACTGCAAACTAAATGTAATAGCATAAGCAGGTCTGATATAAAATGGCATTATCAATTTATAACAGAGGTGGAGAATGATGGCCCTTCTATGTCTTATAGACTTCAACTCCCAGAATTCCCAAAGATGCTTTTCCACGAGGCAACTGGATTTTCTTTCTCTCCAAGAAGCTTCTTCAGTTCTGACTGGATGTGGAGAATGGAAAGATTTATACTCCTGCAGACAGCTGTTCATTTGCATTCTTTTAGCGAGTTGTTAAAGCTACCTGGAGGTTTCTCTGTGTCTTCAGGGTCCCATTGGATGAGTCAGTAGTCCGTCTGCATTTAAAAGACAAATGCCACTCTTTCAAAGACAGCAAAGTCCACATTTTGGACAGAGAGGACCACTGGTTTGAAAGAGGGGTCAAAGAGGCCATCTATGTCAAAACTGACAGCCCTCTCTCAACAGAGGGGGAAGAATATGACATCATCTATCTCCAGTCTACAGCACAGTCCTTTCAGCAGTTCCAAAAAGGTTTCACACCCATTTGCACTACTCAGGTGACCCTTAAGACACAGAGAAGCCTCCAGGTAGCTTTAACGACTCGCTAAAAGAATGCAAATGAACAGCTGTCTGCAGGAGTATAAATCTTTCCATTCCCCACCATCCAGTCAGAGTTGAAGAAGGGATGAGAAGCGAAACGTCTTCACAGGAAAACAAGAAAGTCCAGTTGCCTCATGGAAAAGCATCTTTGGGATAACTATGACCTGGATGACTGAGAATCTCCATAAACTCCCAGAATTCTTGAGCCACCTCTGATTTATAATATAGTAAAACTGTTCTTGATACCATGACAATCCAATGCAATAAAGAAAGGCAATAAACCATATGCAATACATGTAGAACAGTTCTTAATGCAATCCAATGCAATAAATCACAGCAACATCTGCACAGTTTCCTGAACGCAATTACAAAATCAGATGTTTCTGCTTTTGACACACAATTAAATGATTTTGCCGGACTGATATGATTTGTACTTGCCTTAAACACTTCCACACTGAGATTATAAAGTTCTTGGCCAACTAGAGGGGTGTTCAGTAGGTCCCTCACAGCTTGAAAAAACAGAACGTCCAAAGTTTTCTTACGAATGCTATCTTGTTTCCTAACCTTTGGAGGTGACAGCTTTAAAACATCTGTCAAGCTGGATGATTTGTGCAGCTTTAAAAAAAAAGAAATTGCAGAAAACAAATAATTTTAGCATTAGGTATAACTGTTTAGAGAGCAGTGCATTTCTTTAAGGATCCAGTAGAACCGCCATTGTTTTTCTGCTTTTCGTTACTCTTATTTTCCTATACTTTTAATACCAACTTGGTATGAATAATAATTAAGTGGAAACAGCAATTCCTACCATTTTATAGAAACTGAAATGAAAACTGGAAACAAAGAGGTGAATTTCAATTACATCTCATAATTATATCGCTGAATTTAGACTTCAATGATTACATATATATATAATAATCACATTTCATTATATTTTAACTTTTAAAAGGAACTGCCTACCATATGGGGAGGTCAAGCATAATATTAAACAATAGTTCCAACTATATATGTTTATCATATGTCTCTTCATATATCACATTTTCTTAAATATATGTAGTTTATCGAGGTGACATATTTCTTCTATGTAACCAGATTATGAACAAGACTTTTCAGCATAGCTATTTCAAATACCTACTGTATATTCTTAAATTTTGCTATTTTTATATACATATTCTATATAAACATTTGAGTCCTTTTTACAATATCTGTAAATAACAACCCAATGCTGCTATTTAGGTGTTAACATGGCTTTATTCTATTCCTACACCACTCTCTGATGAAAACTGTGAATGACAAAATATAATAGCATAACAATTATTTACTTATTTCTAATTCAGTATGAAATACAAGTTCAGTGAAAGCACAAGTAGCTGCTACTGCTTTATGCAACTTGAACCCCCTCCCAAGAAAGCCACATGATCTAGTACAATTATCATAATATAGGAGTTATACAAAATTTATGAAATATGTTGATTAAGACATTGCCTTTAGATTAAGGCATTTTTTGTTCTTACCATTTCAGATCCAAGTGTAGGATTAGAATACCAAAACTTCTTCCTTTAAAGATTAAGAAAAAAATAACTTTTATGCTTTAATAACTATAAAATATATTTTCCTGTGTTACTTTATTTTGCAAAATCCACTAAATAATTTAAAAAGTGATCACAACTCACTCATTAGTTATACTTTTTGTTCATGAAGAAACATGACATGCTTCCCCATTAAAATCATAATTTACTATTGCCCCTTATAGCAGTTTTTCAACTTGGACAGCTTTAAAATGTGTGTATTTGAACTCCCAAAATTCTCAGCTTGCATGCACTTTCACACATCTTAAAGTTGGCAAGGTTGAGAAATACATCCTTACTGGAACATAGTAAATATTGAATAACTAAAGGTTCATATCACACACGAGTAAAAGTCAAATCAGCAAATGAAGATGGCCATTCAGAGTTCCAAAATGTATGAGCTTAGACTCAGTATTTTACAATAACCTATGTCACAACAGACTAACTTAAATACAGGCTTATTCATAACAGTTAAACATTCAATAAAGCATTTATTATTGTCAGATAATAGTATTTAAAAGCATTGTATGAACTCTGTACAAGCAGGTATTGTCCTAATCAGTGTAACATGCTTACTTGAAATGAGTCAAGTGAATCACTGAAGCTGCCTTCTAAAACCAAGCAAAGTATGACTTTGTAAGGCTGACACTTAAGTATCTTTAACTCGGAACTAGTTTCGTTTCGTGTACCTAAGTACAGCTTGCTTCTGAGTATATAAGGCAGGGGTCTCCAACCTTGACAACTTTAAGACTTGTGGACTTCAACTCCCAGGATTCCTCAGCTGGCTGAGGAATTCTGGGAGTTGAAGTCCACAAGTCTTAAAATTGCCAAGGTTGGGGACCTCTGATATAAGGGATAGAGTTGCAAGTGCAACGCCTATTTTACTCTATTATTTCTGAGAACGATGGGGGGGGGGGGTCGGACGTTCCCGAAAAATGGGATCAAGCTTGTGTTAACAAGAAAAAAAATCAGGAGGGGTGTAATTTAGAAGGAAAAATTGCGATCAAGTGATCTCGGTTAGGAGAGCGACCCTGCCTATCACGCAGCTCAGGATGAGCGAGGCCCTGAAAAGATGAAAGAAGCAAACGTCTCCTATCCACGAAGCCATTATCGCTCCGTAATTCAGCATCCGCTGAATTTGTCGGGGACAAATGGAGGGGATCCACTCACTTTTTTTTAACGAGGAACTTTCTGAGCAAATCATTAGGGGATCGGCAGAGTCGTCTGGTACAGTGCAGAGCCCGAGAACAGCCGGGGCAGGTGATCGCGGACGGGCCTCCCAAAGCGGGAAGCAACCAAGGCAGACTCGCCTGTTTTCTTACGGAGGTGACAGCGGCGGTGACAGCCACCCTCAAGCCATTTCGAACGTTCCACATTGGAACCCAGAGTTCTAGAACGCTTGGGAAGGCGGGCCGAGGCGCGCTTCCTCCGGATGCGCACTCACTACACTCGCCTGTGAGAGAGATCCTCCTACAGCGCCCCCAGCGACTAGGAAGGACTTCTTGGGGACATGAGCTTCGATAAAGTCACCTCGTTTACGGTGACCCATTTGGTAGCTTTACTGTCCGCTTGTTCTCAAGGAGTTAAGGCAGCTTGGCTTGCTTTATTTTGGATCGGGCACAGTCAACCAGTTCAGACTGGATCTGGTATTTGTATCCATCTATTGCAGTGTTTCTCAACCTTGACGATTTTAAGGCATGTGGACTTCAACTCCCAGAATTCCACAGCCAGCATTGCTGGCTGTGGAATTCTGGGAGTTGAAGTCCACATGCCTTAAAATCGTCAAGGTTGAGAAACACTGATCTATCGAGTCCTTCCCAAGGACGTGGGAGAGACAGATGTGGACATTGAATAGGGATCGTTGCAAGATGTCAACTGATCTGAGTAAAGCTGTCTTTTGCTATTGACTGATGGTAAATTTGTCGATGCTGATGGTATTCAATGGTGCCCCAATTGTTTTGGGATTGCACTTAAGGCACCTATTACTGTGGTCCACTGCACACTCAGCCAGATGTTCAGACTGGATTTTGGCATTTTAGTCCACCTAGTGAATCCTTCCCAAGGACTTGGGATAATATAATTATTATTATTTCTCCATAACAACAACCTTGCGAAGTAGAATGGGCTGAGAGTGACTGGGCCAAAGTCATTCAAGGAGATTCCATAGCTTAGAAGAGAATCAAATGTGGGTCTCTCCGGACCTAGTCTGATATTACACTATGCTGATGTATGTATTTATTATTTTTCTGATTCTATTATGGGACATGTTTTCCTATTGCCCAAACTAAAAAAAAAATAGCAGCTCCCATAATCTGTAACTCCAGCTACATCTGAGAGTTACTGCTCTACTATGAACTTGTAAATTTCACCTCAATAATATTTTACAGGATTAAAAATCCAGGAGTTCTTCAGTAACATAAAAGTATTTGCAATGATAGACACTACAAAAATTGAACATGTAGGATAACAAACTATATGTTCCCAAATCTCACAAGTATGGTATATGCACTCCTAAACACATCAATTATCTCAAAGTTTTTCTATTAGAATATATATTTATGCATACATAATAGCCTTATTTCATAACTGAAATAGTTACAGTATTTGGGAATATGTCCTGTTAATTTTAATGAAATTTAATCTTCATTAAGTCAGCTGCTATTTTCAACATAACAGCTTATCCCACAAATGATATTTGGAAAAATATCTCAAATACCTATAGCAGTAATCCTTACTTGACAACAAGCCCTTCAAATACTGTATCATACCACTGGGACACTCATCCAATGCATTTTAACTAGAAAGAGATGACATAATAAAAAATAATAAAGTAAAAATATCTATTTTTCAAATTTGTTTTTCATTCCATTTAATAAAGAACAAACAGAACAACATAAATGAACAATACATACCCCAAAGCATGCTTATTCTTTTTCCAAGGAAGCTAAATGGAGATCCGTTGTCAAATCAAATTCATTACTTTGGTATAAACTAGGAATTTACAAACTTGGCAACTTTAAGCCTTGTAGACTTCAACTCCCAGAATTCCTCAGGCAGCGTGACTGGCTGAGGAATTCTGGGAGTTAAAGTCCATAAGGCTTAAAGTTGCCAACTTTGGAGAACCCTGGTATAAACATTTAAAGACAAATATAAAATACTTTATCCCAACAAGGCATGTGTTACTCATGGACTTCATGAGGGACCAGGAGGCCATTTACAGCAGCCAGAATATTTTCAACCATACTTTTCATCATATGGCGGCGGGCTTGTGAAGTTGCAGATCCAACGTGGGGTGTTATGATGACATTCTTTAAATGCAATAAAGCATGATCTCTGAAGGAAAAAAGAGAAAAGTTGTCTGTTTCTTTTAAACTTGAAAATATAATGATGTGTCATGCTTATGGAACTGAACTGAATATGGGCATTTATATATTTTGGTATTGCAAAGTTTTCAGAAAGTAGAATCAGATCATTAATATTCCGCAGTTCTTAATTCAAGCATCTCCTCACTGCTGCTGCTGGTAGCACACAAGCATAGTAATGGGGAATACGTGAACTCTGTCCATTTTTCCTTGGAAGTGTTTATTATCCCATAAGCCAATTCATAGGAGAGTATTTGCAGGAAACATAATATGCAGCTAAACCATCTTGCAGAAATGTGTTCTGTACTGCAAGCATTGGGAATTCTGAAGTGGAGAGTTGAGGATTGAAACATTTATCAATGGACTCAGTTTAGATCAGTGGTTCTCAACCTGTGGGTCGGGACCCCATTTGGGATCGAACGACCATTTCATGGGGGTCGCCAAACAACGCAGTCCGCCATTTTTTTCCTTTCAAAAGCCAATAGGAATTGTCCAGGCTGTCTCTGCCCTGCTGAGCCCACCAAAAGTCCCATTCTGCAAACAGTGCTGCACCAGTTGAGTAGTCCTCGACTTACGACCGGTTGAGTAGTCCTCGACTTACGACCGGTTGGGGGTTGTGGCATTAAAAAGATTGAGAACCACTGGTTTAGATGTTCCCACACAACACAACTAATTGTGAAGAACTGGGACATAGATTTGGACTGAGATAAATCTAATCCTCACAACACACTCACCCAGTTAAGTGGCTACAGTTCTGTGTATAATATATGTACATCAAGCTTAACTACTGAGAAGACTAAGCTTAACTAACTAACCAGGTATGACTTGAAAAGGGTAGTCTATCCTGAACCATGGGGAGCTGGTCATTTTTAGCCCTGTCTTCTCATACGGTAGAATGGTGGCTGTTGGAAAAATATGAAGGAAGCTGCGCTGCCTTGAACTACTGGATGTAAGACAAACATAATCATAAAAAAACAAACAATTAATCTTTAGCATTTGAGTTTTACTGTCTGCTATTTCCATTTCAGTTTCCTGTCCTTTCCTGTGGCGAGCAAGACCAATCAGTCCTTCTAAGATCCTTAGGCTGTTTTGAGTTGCTCCTTCACAGAAGGGAAAGCTGATGTCCTAAGCATTTGTAAGTCCTTCTTCTGGGGGCATATATCATTTGCCTTGGAACATTTAAAACCAATTTTTCAGTGTGACTAGGGAAATGATGCATTAATAATAGAATTAAGTTTCATGTTTAAATACTTATAAATCTAAATGCAGTTCTTTATCTGTGTGCATACTTATTGTTTTCCCCACAATGTTGATTGGTTTGTGTTTGAATTTTTACACTAAGCAGGAAATTGAACATGATTACACACACACACAATTATGGAATGATTACATACACATGATTACACACACACACAATTATGGAATTTACTCAGCAGCTTCTGATGAGTTAATTCCATAATTGTTGTCTATTTGCTTGGCTAAAAAATTATGCTACATTCCTGTTGCAGATTAATTTCACATTTGGAGAACTTAAATCAACTCACTGTATCACATAATATTCATGGAGAAAATCTATCAATGTTGTCTCTAAGAGCTGACAACACACATCAATCAATAAAGTAATATACTATTTAGTCAAATATGACCCTATTGATTAATAAAAAACATTTGCTTTCTTTGGCATGAATGGCCAACTATCTTATCTTAAATAATCTTGCAGTCTAGATGAGCAGAAATGAGCCTGAATATATTTTGGGATAGAATACTTATCTTGACAAGATATCTTGACAAGATAGAAAAATGTGGGGTAGACAGAACCACCACCAGATGGATCCGTAGCTGGCTGACCGGCCGTACTCAGCGAGTGGTCCTCAATGGAACTGCATCTATATGGAGGGAAGTGTGTAGTGGGGTGCCCCAGGGCTCTGTTCTGGGCCCAGTACTCTTCAACATCTTCATCAACGATTTGGATGAAGGGATAGATGGGGAACTCATCAAATTTGCAGATGACACCAAGCTGGCAGGAATAGCCAACACTCCAGAAGACAGGCTTCAGATACAGAAGGATCTGGACAGACTTGAACACTGGGCACTAACTAACAAAATGAAATTCAATGGTGAAAAAAGCAAGGTTCTACATTTAGGCAAGAAAAACCAAATGCACAAGTACAGCATAGGTGGCACCATGCTCAATAGTAGTAACTGTGAGAGGGACCTCGGAGTCCTAGTAGACAATCAGTTAAATATGAGCCAGCAGTGTGCGGCAGCTGCCAAAAAGGCCAACACAGTACTAGGCTGCATTAACAGAGGGATAGAATCAAGATCACGCGAAGTATTAATACCACTCTTCAATGCCTTGGTAAGGCCACACTTGGAATACTGCATCCAGTTTTGGTCACCACGATGTAAAAAAGATGTTGAGACTCTAGAAAGAGTACAGAGAAGAGCAACAAAGATGATTAGGGGACTGGAGGCTAAAACATATAAGGAACGGTTGCGAGAATTGGGTATGTCTAGTTTAACGAAGAGAAGGACAAGGGGGGACATGATAGCAGTATTCCAATATCTCAGGGGCTGCCATAAAGAAGAGGGAATTAAGCTATTTTCCAAAGCACCTGAAGGCAGGACAAGAAGCAACGGGTGGAAACTAATCAAGGAGAGAAGCAACCTAGAACTAAGGAGAAACTTCCTGACAGTGAGAACAATTAATCAGTGGAACAGCTTGCCTCCAGAAGCAGTAAATGCTCCAACACTGGAAGTTTTTAAGAAGAGACTGGACAGCCATTTGTCCGAAATGGTGTAGGGTTTCCTGCCCGAGCAGGGGGTTGGACTAGATGACCTCCAAGGTCCCTTCCAACTTTACTATTATTATTATTATTATTATAAAATGAAGGAATAAGCAAAGCCCCAAAATTCACACTGACATATTAATACTAAATGCATGATTTTTTTTACCTTGGTAGTGGCTCTGGATACGTTACATCCAAAGCTGCAGCCTTAATTGTTTTCATTTGGAGGGCCTTCAGCAGTGCATCTTGATCAACCACTTGACCTGAATTTAAAAACAAACAAGAGAACAAATTGTTTTACTATCTCTATCAAGAGATACTATTTACCAAACTAAAACAGGAGACTCATTTCTCTGAATGAGAGCAGTAAATCATTGTTAAATGTGACACACTCCTTTCACACTAACAGGTTGACATTTCTGGCAACAACCATATTGGAACAAAGAAAAAAATTCCTTATATTTTAATGAGGACAATTTTGAATAAATGGGATCTGAACTAATGCAGTCCTATCAGAAAAGGGATTTTGGGTTACAAGAATTAATCAGTTAATATATACAATAACTCAGTTTGAAGTTGTTAAGAAAAAGAAAAGTTCTTAGTGGAGAAATCCTTTTATGACTTCATACAACTCTACGAAGCAACCTTGATCAAAACATTGAATTCTATTTTGCTAAACACACTATATCACACAAATATTGTATATTTGGAAAATATGTGAAAAGGGCAATTAAAATAATTAGCAACTCCATATTATAGTGAAGAACATGAATAATATGCTGCTGCCAACAGGTTCTTACTGTCAAAACATAATTTTCTTGGCAGGAAAGGAATGGTTAAGGAATTGTGAATTTAAAAAATATTCGATATTTCAGAAAATTTTGAACGGAAAGAAGGTGAAAGCAAGCATAAATCCACCTAAGGGAAAGGAATTCAATTGTGGTTATTTTCGAAAAATGATAAAGCAAATGCTTTACTGTTACCTGTCTGTTGCATGTGTACATTTGAGTCTTTTATTAATATTTGTAGTCCTCAGGTTGACTATTATTTCAAGGAGATGTTTTAGATCAGGGGTGTCAAACTCAATTTCACTGAGGGCTGCATCAGCATTGCGGCTGCCCTGGGCGGGAGGGTGGGTGTGGCCAGAGTGGGTGCAGCCTACTGGGTGGGCATGGACGGAGTGGGTATGGCCAACTGGGTGGGCATGGCCAGTTCTACATCGTTCACGTCAAAGGTGCCTATGGGGGCCTGGGCAGGAGTGAGACAGATCTGATGGTCTTTGGCAGAAGGGGGTGGGACCGGGGCAAGTGCCAAGGCATGGTCCACCAGGGCAAGTGCCAAGATGGTCACCACAAAATTGTACATTGGCTCCCGGCTGGCCTGGGCCAGGGCCAAGGCAGCAGGGGCCGTTCCCTCACTGTTTCCAGGATGGCTTCGCAGGCCACATGAAATCACTTCGCGGGCCGCATCCGGCCGCTGGGTCTTGTGTTTGACATGTCTGTTTTAGATAATGACTAACATTTACAAATTAAAGCAAACATTTCAATATCTCTGTTGATTAGTTAACTGAAAATAGTCCCTTATTCACCATGTTCCGTGTATGTTGTACCTCTGGAGATGACTTTTTCATAACTGAAAATCAGAAGCACAAGAGTAGTAGTGAGAAAAAATAATCCTAATGTAAAATGGATAATGGCCATCTAAGGAGGAAAATGGTATTTCAGGAGGCCGTTCCTTAGAGCAGTAAGGAGATATGCAGCTAGGGAAATGTTAGCCAGGAATTCTAAAAAATGGGATGGGGCATGAACTGGGAAGAATACGTTTAATCCAGTATGGGTATTTGAAAACATTACAATATCTCAAGCTCTTTAATTGAGAGATGATGCAGATGAGTTATAGACTACCTTAAATTTTCCTGACAGAATTTTATTTGTAATTTCTTACTTTCCCTCATGTCATAAATGATTTTCATTTCATCATATTCAAGGAAAATGTGGCTATAATGAGTTTGAAATCATTATACTACCTCTACAGATGTTGACAAGAGTGGCAGTGGGCTTCATGAGTTCTAGTTCCTTTCTCCCAATCAACTTGTAAGTCCGAGGGGTCAGATTCACAGTCAACATCACAAAGTCAGCTTGTTGAAGTAAATCTTCCATCTTCTGGCAATAAACTGCACCAACAACCTGCTCATCTGCCTCATTTCTGCAGGACATAATCATTTAGCTCTAATTGTTAATGTTAGCAATATTTCCACTGATGTTTCATACCTCCACAGAACTAGTGACAAAGACAATCTGAACATATTGGTATATCCACATGGCCTCTAACCCATTACAAAGATGCCTCATTCTAACCATTCCTGAAGAATATCTCCCATTCTCATACCAGTGCCAATGCAACTTAGGTTCATATTAACCTGATTCAATGTTGAAATGTTTTTTTTTTCTATCTTTTCCCAACACAGGTCTTGATACATGTGCAATATATATTGTTTCACTGGCAAGTATAGTGAAAGTGAAGCAGATATGGAATTTGTCTTGCTAAGGGCTCTCCAAACTTAGCAACTTTAAAACTTGTGGACTTCAACTCCCAGAATTCCTCAGCTAGCCATGCTGAAGTCCACAAGTCTTAAAGTTGCCAAGTTTGGAGATTCCCTGGTCTAGCTCCTACTGGTCTCTTCAGCTGATGCAGGCATACCTTCCCAGACAATATTCGTTTATGGATCTAAAATATACATTTATGAAAGATTAGGAAAAAATACTGTTTTGTACAGGTATCTCTGCAATGGGAGACAAATGGAGTTATTCATGGTGAGCATAAGAGAAAGGTAAAAATAAAAAAGTAAAAAAATAATAATGTAAATATTATCTAATCCAGGAACTGGTTACCTTTGATTTCTGTTATGATAAAGAATTTTCATCTCAAAAGCTTTAGCTCTTTGGGCCACCTTGTAACCAATCCTGCCCATTCCAATGATTCCTAGAGTTGAACCAGTTATTTCTTGTCCCAACCAGTTGACATTAAAATAGTTAGTGTCAGGGGAAACTGCAATCTGATAACCTAGATGTTTAAAAACAAACCAAAAAGAAGTGGATTGTGGTAGTACGAAATCAATCAATAATCAATAGTGCAGGTCTCACTCTTTTGTGGCAAACCATGTTGACCTTACTGATTTTGAACAGTGGGCAGGTGCCACACCACTTTCTGTTACTGGTATTTGTAGCAAGGTCTCAACTGCCTTTTGAAGGAAACCTAGAAATCTTCACAATCCTAGTTACAATGTACGGAGATTCTCTACTGAATCCATTAGTAAGTGGTTGCTCAGAACACGTTCCTTGTTTTTATATTCTACAATTTCATTATGGCATTAAAACCAGTCTATGATGTCACTATTGTCAAATTTAACTGTGCTGGGTTTGGAAGCTATGATGGCAGTTGTCTGGGCAATACCAAATCTTTAAACTGGATTGGGAAGTAGGAAAAAAAAGAACATTATGGAAGAAAGCAGAAGCAACATCTTCCTTATAGATGACATGGAAAATACAGATAGTCCTTGAGCTACTACCACAATTGAGCCCAACGTTAATGTTGCTAAGTGAAACATTTGTTAAGTGAGTTTTGCTCCACTTTACAACCTTCCTTGTAACAGTTGTTAAGTGAATCATAACAGTTGTTAAGTTAATAACATGATTAACTTAATAAGTAAAACTGGCTTCCCCATTGACTTTGCTTGCCAGGTCACAAAAGCTGATCGCATGACCCTGGGGACATTGTATCATAAATACAGGCTGGTTGCCAAGTAATTGAATTTTGATCACATGACCATGGGGATGCCACCATGGCCATAAGTGTGAAAAATGGTCATAAGTCATGTTTTTCAGTGCCATTTTAACTAAACGAACTGTTGTAAGTCAAGGACTTCCTGTATAGGTCATGACCAGAAGCTGAATTCAACTTGAAAGAAATGTTCCTGTTTTGAGGGGGAAAATGGGCTAAGGCAGGGGTCTTGGCTGAGGAATTCTGGGAGTTGAAGTCCCCAAGTCATAAAAGGGCCAAGTTTGAAGACCCCTGAATAATGTTGACTGCCAATGATTCTCTAGCTCAATGATGGTAGAGATTCAGGTAATTTTCTTTCCAACAATTTTCAAGACTGGTCTTACACGTAGTCCTCCACTTACAACCATTTGTTTAGCAACCGTTTGAAGTTACAACAACATTGAAAAAAGTGATTTACGATCAGTCCTCACATGTACGACCATCACAGCATCTCTACAGTCATGTGATCAAATTGGACTCAAGCTGAAACCTTGAAAAGGCTTCAATAAGCTACAATGATAAAATGACCAAAATTGGGGTTCTTGCAACTAGCCTGCATTTCTAATGGTTGCGCTGTGCTGGGGTCATGTGATCGTGTCACACTATTTCTGACCTTCTCAGCCAGCTCCCGACAAGCAAAGTCAATGAGGAAAACTGGATTTGCTTAATTATCCTATGATTCACTTAAAACTGCAGTAATTCACTTAATAATTGTGGTAAAAAAAATTGTAAAATCAGAGGTGACTTGTAATCTACCTTTGTTATAAAGAACAGATTTGTCCAGGCCTTTACTGCTATAACCAGCGATTCTCCAGGCGTGGGGAGCACCTTGCTAATTATGTAATTAAGTTGCAGATAGAATTCACCACTTGTAAAACATAAAGTGAGGGGAATCCTCATTCAATAATTATGCAGAAAAAATAGGTCTGGGGTAGGGGTTAATGAACTAAAAAAAATCCATTATCTGATAGTTCATAAGTTCAGCCGGTGGCTACATCTTGACAAACCACCACATAATCCCTAAATAGAGGCAAACCTTGCTAGTTCCTGAATGGGAAACATGAGAACATTTCAGAGATGTAGACTAAACTGGAAAATTTAAAATTTTCTGGGAAACAGACAATGGCAAAATACTTGGTTACATTATATGTACAAGGGAGCTTTTTAAAAAACAATATGAACCCATGAAAATTAATTACCTTGAAACATAAAAGATTTAAACAGTCTCTCTCCCCCCCCCCCAATAAAGCAGAATATTTGTTGCTCAGAATTGAAATGAGGAATCCTTGGCACATTCTGAGTTTGTTTTCTTGCAGACGTTTCATTACCCAAACTGGGTAACATCATCAGTGCACTGAGGATGTTACCTACTTTGGGGTAATGAAATGTCTGCAAGAAATCAATCAAGCTCAGACAGCATAAAGGACCCTCAGTCTCTCCCCTCTTTCAACATATTATCATTGAGTTATCAAAAATTAAATTGTACCTTCCACAATCCTTCTAGCAGAAGCTAGCATTAAAGCCATCCCTATATCTGCTGTTGCACTGGTCACTGCAAAAGGTGTATTAGTTATTTTTATACCAAAGCTGAAGATCAGTTTTAAATCGAGGTGGTCTATTCCTACACCAGAGACTGCAATCACTTTTAAATTAGGTAGGTCTTCCAGAAGATCCCTGGTAGCCTTAGGTTTATGGGCCCACATAAATATTGCTTGGATTTTTTCACTAAGCACTTGCTTGTTTTTCAGATATTCCTGCATGGTGACAAGTTTAAGATGTTTTTCCAGAAACTCTACGTGATCTTCATAAACTCCATCTGGACTGCCAATGACGTTTATTAATGTATATGGTAGCTCCTGTTCTTCCACAATCTACTTAAACAAAACAAATAGGTATTACCTTTATAACACATACTTCTGTAACAACAGTATACAGTTATTGATGGACCGATCTTAGAAAAGCCTATTGATAATAACAGTTTAACCTTTAACAGTTTTTTCAGAGATGTCACCATTAAAACTGATGATCTATTTTTATTGATTTGAAGAGGGAGACATTTACTTGTTCCCATTCATTGAAATTAACAGATTGTGCAAAAATACCCAGGCAAACGACAGGTGGGAAAAAATTGCTGATGTACTGCTGCAGATATAGCACTTAAAGTTGCCCCCCTTTTTTTCCTCAAAGCTCCCCAATTCCCTCTCCATTTCACTTGATTCAAAGTACAAGTTTGCCAATGTTGATCAGTGGCACTTTTTGTTCCTCCTTTCCCACCTCAGCAGATATAAATTACCTTGCTAAAAGTATCAGCCATTGCTGAAAACTATCCAGCTTAGCTTGCTTCTGAATCGTTACTTGTTTCAAAGTACAATTTGGGAAGATAACCTTTAAATATCTCCCAGCCAGATTTCCAAAGACAACAGTGGAGGACTTTGGAATTTAGAGTTTCCCCCCCTCTGTTTTATGTTCACAACTAATTTACCTCTCAAACTGGCTAAACTCATCCAAGAAGCTTGTACTGATGAAGAAGGATTTGAAGAGAGAGACTTTATTGTCCTATTTATCTAAACTTGAGTATTTCTCTTTAGTGAAATTCTTAATTATTGGCAATCACCTCTCATAATTTTTCTATTGGTTAATTCTATTTTGGGAGCATTGTCTTAACCAGAAAATAGCTATTTAAACTAGAATGTAAGAGAAAAAATGTATTTATCCTAACCTTCAAGAGTACTCCTTTCAGCTGAAATTACTTATACACTGGAACAAACAAATGGAAAAATCAGATAACTGGTATTTTAAACAAATATTAAAAAATGGTAAGAGTACCAGCATATCAAGAAAAGCATTTTTTTTCTGAATCTGTAAGTCTCTTAAAATTTAAATGATCATTCTGTGAACATTCTGAGCATTCTAAATTACCCAGATTCTATACACCGGTAATAATTCAAGCTACAGTACAAAGAGATCCTTCATAAGAAAAGGGCAAAGTTTAATGGGGAACTTCGAATCAAGCTGTAACTTAATAAGTTATTTCTTAAACTATTCTTGTAACCAAATACAACTGGATTATGTTCCAGATCATATTTCAGTCTTTGTATTTCAGTTGAATGTATCTACTTAATTTTCTACTAATAAATTACAAGTGTAGTTGATTTTGGTGGGCTTATACCATGTTTTTTTTTTTTTAAAAAATAACCAAATGCTAAGTCCATAAGAACCACAATGCATTATTTACTGGTTCTTAATTTCATTACGTTAAAGAAATTATGTAGGTACAGAGAAAGAACAAAAATACTATTACTTTTTTTATTTCCTAATTATTGCATGAATATTCTAAGTTATCATTCAAGTCTCTTTGTAGATCAGAATAGTTTGAAAATAAAGATCCTTTCTGAAAATGCTACATTTGTATTAGAAGCTATAGTGCTGATTTTGGAAAATTACATAAATTAAATTAAAAATAGAAGAAAAATAATCAATAATTAAGCATCCCTTTTAGTGCTTTTATCTTTACAAATATTGCATTTGTAAAGTTTAAAGTGTTTTGTATCTCTTTCTCTCCCTGTCAGCAATATAAACATTTTTTTGTTCCTGTTCCTTATTTCTAAGTTTTGTCTTAAATTTTGTTTGTTCCATTAAAAAACACAAAAAGCAAGGGTGTTCAGAACAATTTGTTCTTTGTGCCTTTTAAAATACCATTACACAATCTATTATATCATTAATGGATTCAGCTTTTGAATGCCATGAAAAATTTGAAAGCTTTAGCAGTCACAATTTTCTAGTCAAGATCAGAAAACTATGTCTTGATTCATGTACTGCTTGGCAATATTATGTTTTGCTTGGTTTTGTGTCAATTCAACTATAGCAACTAATTAATAATATGTATATCGGTTAATGGGTTGTGTGAACTCAAGTCAAAATTTTGTTCAAAAAATATGGTTGAATAAAATTTAACAGCTAAGCAATCTCTCATCCAGCCTAGCAAACAAAACGTGCAAGGCAGCATGCTTTGCTATATTTGGGTTGTGCACTCTTCTTCATGTAATTGTCAAAAGATGGCAACAATTATCTGCAGATGAGGAATGCAGGAGAAAGATCATTTCAAACATGAAAACTATAACCTCAAATAATAAATATTACTATGCTGGAACGATTCAAGATTTTTACATTGAGGTTGAACCTTGATGTGATGTTTAACAGAGCCTTAAGCCTTAGCTCTTCTGAATTTGTTGTTCTTATTTTACAAAGCCTGTGTATCTGTTTGCTAGAGATAAAGGGATGAAAGTATCAGAAGCCCAACCACCATGATCAAAAGCCTCAGAATAAACTTTTTTTCAATGGGATTTTAATTATTTATTTATTAAATTTATTTGCCACCCATCTTGTTTTGAAGTGACTCTGGGCGGCGTACAGAATTAATTACAAAAAATAATCACAGTCACATATTTTGAAACTGATAGGAATATGTCGTCTGGCTATTTGTCATATTTCTCAGAAGTTAATCTCCTGTTCTTGATAATTAATGGATTTTTTTTCTTTTTGTATATTCTCAGTCAAGTCATTTGGAGATCACTTCACTAGGAATGGGAAGATCATTGAGAACTGCCAGGATGTTTTCTACTGCTTCTTCTGTCATCATGAGCAGGGCTTGGTCTGTAGCAGTGCCAATGTGGGGTGTTATGATGACATTCTTCATCTGCAATAGCAAGTGATCTCTGCAGAGAAAGCAGGATAAGATAATTTAGACTCGCCAAGTCCAGACAAATATTAATATTAATGTTAATATTATTAACAAATTCGCCATTAGTCAATTGCAAAAGGCGGCCTTGCTAGGAACTGCTTCCATCCTGCGACGATATCTGTAATACCATCAAACATTCACGTCTGCCTATCCCAGGTCCTGGGTAAAGACTTGATAGGTAGACAAAAATGCCAAATCCAGTCTGAATATCTGGCTGACTGTGTGATGATCCATAATAATAGTAGTAGTAGTATTAGTAGTAATAGTAGTAATAGTAATAACAATAAAGTTGGAAGGGACCTTGGAGGTCATCTAGTCCAACTCCCTGCTCAGGCAGGAAACCCTATACCATTTCAGACAAATGGCTGTCCAATTTCTTCTTAAAAGCCTTCATTGTTGGAGCATTCACAGCTTCTGGAGGCAAGTTGTTCCACTGATTAATTGTTCTAACTGTCAGGAAATTTCTCCTTAGTTCTAGGTTGCTTCTCTCTTTGATTAGTTTTTATCCGTTGCTTCTTGTGTTGCCTTCAGGTGCTTGGAGAATAGCTTGACTCCCTCTTCTTTGTGGCAGCCCCTGAGATATTGGAATACCTCTATCATGTTCCCCCCTTGTCCTTCTCTTCATTAAACTAGACATACGCAATTCCAGCAACCGTTCCTTGTATGTTTTAGCCTCCAGTCCCCTAATCATCTTTGTTGCTCTTCTCTGCATTCTTTCTAGAGTCTCAACATCCTTTTTACATTGTGGTGACCAAATCTGGATGCAGTATTCCAAGTGTGGCCTTACCAAGGCATTGTAAAGTGGTATTAATACTTCACATGATCTTGATTCTATCTCTCAGTTAATGCACTGCGTTGGCTTTTTTGGCAGCTGCAGCACACTGCAGTTGCAGCAAATGATTTGTAAAACAACAGCTAGACCAGGCATGTCAAACTCGTGACATCACGTGATGAATCGGAACTTTTTCCCCATTGCCGGCAATGGGGTGGGCGCGATTTCGGCATGACGCATCCGGCCCATGGGCTAGCAGTTTGACATGCCTGAGCTAGACTGAAACTGACAAAAAGGATATTAACTTCTGCTGCTCAGTTTCTACTATAGAAACCTTTCTGTGAGGTAGTATCCATACTATCCAAGAGGCACATCCTGCAAACAGCCATTACTTGCTGCTACGCTATTTCAATAGCTCTTCCTCTAGCGTTACTCCTGGTATTGCCAAAGAGAATGGGAATCGTTCTCATAGACATCATTGGGAGGATTAATGAATGAAATGTGATCATTCTATTTTTTTAAAAGACAAAACCTCTAAAATGTGTTTTGTGTACTCCAAATACACACCTTCTCAGAACCTAGTTTATTTATTGCATTTATATCCCACTTTTTTTTAATAAAAAAGTTTTTTATTTTCCATTTATTCATACAAAATACAATTCAATTAAAATAAATTCCTAACCATTGGTACCGCCTGCCCATTCCCCCCAGGCCGCGTCCACCCTCTCTAATCCTTCCCTACTTCCCTCCTCTTTCTCTCCTCCCCTCCTACTCTCTTCCCCTCCCCTTCTCCTCTAACCATCCTACTTCCTCCCTGCTCCTTCCTCCCCTCTCATCCCTCTCACACACATGAACGCAGCATAGGGGAAATGCCCAAGCATTTACCATGACTATATTATCATTACCCACCCACTCACCCTCAACCCTCCCCCCCTCGCTTCCCAGAGCAGAGAACAGGGTTATTAATAAGAAAGTTAACAATAATAAAAAAAAAGAAAAGAAGAAAGAAAAAAGAAAAAAAAGAAAAAAACATCATATTTAACCTTTAACTCCCCTTAAATTAAGTCATATAAACAAATCTCTACAACAGTTACTATAAAATTTACTCATAAAATAAATGAAACTTTATAGTCCCATATTTTTTCTGAATATAATCTATCCATCTTCTCCATACAATAATATATCTTTCTTGTGTATGATCCTTCAAATAAGCAGAAATTTTTGCCATTTCTGCAAAGTTAGAAACTTTAAATATCCATTCTTCTAAAGTAGGCAACGAATCCTTCTTCCAATATGAGCTTACTTCCTTTAAATACTCTTTACATTTTTTTTTTTATTAAAAGTTTTATAAATTTTACAAGAAAAACAAGAACAATACAAAACAAAAAACAACATATACAGAAGAAAAAGAAAATTAAACAATACATATAAAAAAAAAAACCCCACCCCACACCCCTCCCAAAAACCCTCCCTTCCCCCCCCCTGAGCTTCCCAGAGCAGAATATAGGCTTAAGCAATAAAAAAAAATAAAAATTAAATTAAAAACTTTATATTTATATATACAAAAAAGATACCTATAATATATATAAAAATAAAACTTATGAAAAAGCTATATGATATTTTTGTATACCCAATCTAAATTGTATAAATTTTATCCATTTGTCCCAGATAGCAAAAAACTTCTCTTGCGTTTGTTGCTTTAAGAAAGCCGAAATCTTTGCCATTTCCGCCAGATAAGCTACTTTAAAAAACCATTCCTGCAATGTAGGCAAAGATTCCTTCTTCCAATATTGTCCAACTAACAGCCTCGCGGCTGTGATCAAATTTAACATCAATACAACCTCCTTTGTATCACAATCTGTAACAATACCTAACAAAAATAATTGCGGAGTAAATTTTACCCTCCTTCTAAAAATTCTCTGGATATTCCACCATATTTTGATCCAAAATGCTTTTATCTCTCTGCATGACCACCAAATATGATAATAGGAAGCCTCCTTATAACCACATCTCCAGCATTTAGGTTGCACGTCAGGGTACATGTAAGACATTTTTTGTGGATCAAGGTGCCATCTATAAAACATTTTATAAAAATTCTCCCTTAGATTCTGTGCTTGAGTAAATTTGACATTTCTCACCCAAATAGTTTCCCAGGTGTCCAATGAAACTGGCTCACCAAAGTTCTGCGCCCATCTAATCATACAATCTTTAATTAGTTCCGTTTCTGAGTCCAATTCAACTAAAACCCCATAAATTCTCTTAATGTGGGTTTGTCTTTGATCCTTCAGTTGCTTAATAAGATTTTCATCTTCTCTAAGGAAACCCACCTTACAATCCATCTTCCATCTATCTAGTAGTTGCCTATATTGAAACCAAGAATAAGTAAAATTTTCTTGTGCTAATTCTTCCCGTGATTTTAATTGCCAGTTTTGTCCATCCCATTTAAGTAACTGTCTGTAAGACACCATATCCATTTTAACCCCTCTTTTTATTCCTTCTATCGCATGCCAAGGTATAGCCCATAATGGTACTTTAAAATCACTTTTATAATATTTTCTCCAAATCCTAAGTAAAGAAATTCTTAAAATATGAGATTTAAAAGCCCAATCTATTTTTTTATTAAATATTAAATAGGCATGCCACCCATAAAGTAAATCCCATCCCTCTAGATAAAGTATCTCAGAGTTTGTCAAATTTACCCAGTCACTAATTAATGTTAAAACCACCGCATCATAATATAATTTCAAATTTGGTACCTTGAGTCCACCCCTCTCACGGAAGTCTTGCATAATTTTGAACTTAACCCTTGGTTTTTTCCCTGCCCAAATAAATTTATTGAGACCCTTCTGCCACTCATTTAAATTAATCTCATTTTTCAAAATTGGTAACATTTGAAACAAAAAAAGAAACTTGGGTAGAATATTCATTTTTATCACTGCAATTCTTCCCATGAGGGATAATTGCAGCTTTTCCCAATTCTTCAAGTCTTTCTGTACCCCGACCCACAACCTTTCATAATTATTTTTAAATAGTTTTGCATTAGAAACAGACAGCATCACCCCCAAATATTTTACCTTATTAACAATCTCAAAACCCGTCGAGTTAACCAAAATCTGCTTCTCCTGACTCGACAAATTTTTAGGTAAAATTTTAGTCTTATTTACATTAATCTTAAAACCCGAGACCAAACCATAATGGTGAATCAACTGTAATAAGTTTACTACAGAATAATCAGGTTGCGACAAAGTAACAACCAAGTCATCCGCAAAAGCTCTCAACTTATATTCTTTTTTATTAACATATATTCCTTTAATTTCCTGAGACTCTCGAATTTTAATCAATAATATTTCCAATGTTAAAACAAACAACAATGGCGATAAAGGACACCCCTGTCTAGTACCTTTCTCTATTGTGAAAACCTCCGACAAACCTCCATTAACAATAAGTTGTGCTGTTTGTTTTTGATATATTACCTTAAGGGCTTGTAATATGTTTTCACCAAAATTCATTTCTTCCATTACTCTTAGCATAAAATGCCAATTCAGTTGGTCAAATGCTTTTTCAGCATCTAAAAATATGAGCCCTGCAGGAACTTGGTTGTTCTTATCTAAGTATTCTAATAAGTTAATAATTTGTCTAACATTGTTTTTCATATACCTTCCTGTTATAAACCCTGATTGATCTTTATGCACAAGATGATGCACCACCCTCATAAGCCTATTTACCAAAATTTTTACAAATATCTTATAATCCACGTTTAAAAGAGATATAGGCCTATAGTTTTTTGGTAAAGTAAGATCTTGATCCTCCTTTGGAATCAATGATATAAAAGCACTACGCCATGAAGGAGGAATCTCTAAACCCTGTAAGATACCATTAAAAAGATCATTTAATGGTTGAATCATCTCCTCCATTAAAGCTTTATAATAAACAGCTGTTAACCCATCCGTACCCGGTGCTTTCCCTAATTTCAATTGTTGAATTGCTGAGGCAATTTCCTCCTTAGTAATTAAACCATTAATTTCATATTTCTGATCCTCAGTCAGTTTAGGAAAACTTGCCTCAGCTAAATATTTATTTATATCTAACAGTTGTACATTAGTAGATTTGTATAGGTTTTGATAATAATCCAAAAAAGATTTTTTAATTAATTCCTTCTGAGAAACTAGTTTACCCTTATAATTTATTTTCTCTATTATTCTCAGTCTCTGTTTCTTTCTTAATTGATAAGCCAACCATCTCCCCGGCTTATTAGCATTACAAAATGTATTTTGTTTCATAAATAATAAATTGGTTGCAGCTTGATCTGCTATCAACATATTAAATTGTGACCTTAATAACTTTACAGATTCTTTAGTACTTTCATCAGAAGGATTTAGAATCAAAGCCCTTTCTTTTAGTTTAATTTCATCTTCAAGTTCTCTACGTTTCTGAGTCTGATTTCGCTTATAAAAATTATTCATTTTTATCAAAACACCGCGCATAAATGCTTTACCTGCATCCCATACCATTGACATTGAAGTCCCCTTATACATATTCAAAGCAAAATAGTCCTTTAAACACTCCTTTAGTTTTTGAACATTCTTCTCTTGTCTAAACAAATTTTCATTAACTCTCCAGGATCTTCTTTCCTCTTTCTCTTGAATCAACTCCATCCAAACTGGACTATGATCCGTCAGTGATCTAGGAAAAATCTTTACATTCTTTACTTTATTATACAAATCCGTGGTAATCAAGAAAAAGTCAATTCTTGAAAAAGATTGGTGTCTGTCAGAAAAAAAAGTAAAGTCTCTCTCCTCTTGATTACGTTCCCGCCAATAGTCCCTTAATTCCCAGTCTTCTTTCATATCAAAAAAGGCTTTAGGTAGCCTTGCTTGTTTAAGAAAAGGAGAGGAACCTTTCTTATCCCTTTGTGTATCTAAGACACCATTCCAATCACCCATTAATACCACCGATCTATAATCAAGCAAAGTTATTTTTTGGTGTAACTGTTTATAAAATTGTTCCTGTTGTTGATTTGGAGCATAAAGTCCAACTATAAGTACTTTCTTACCATAAATACCAAGTTCAATCATCACATATCTCCCCTGGGGATCTGATTCTACCAGACAAGCTGGCAGGTTTTGTTTGACATTTATAACAACTCCCCCTTTCTTCCCAGGTGCAGGAGATATAAAATGAGATCCCAAACGAGCATTAACTAAATATTTCTGATCTTTAAGTAGAATATGAGTTTCCTGTAAACAAATAACATCATTGGTATGTTGTTTCAAATAATAAAAGATTTTTTTCCGTTTCTGAGGAGAATTCAATCCATTAACATTCCAGGTCAAAAACTTTGCCATCTCCCTTGGCACGCAGCCTGGAGAAGACACCATCAAACTCTGACAGAGCTGCGTGTGTTGCATAACTCTTGGGTCTTGCTCCTCCCACCGGCGGTGATGCACTTCCAGGAGAATTCTCTTTGGGCTCTTTTTTACGTTGCTCTTTCTCTTTACGCTTATAAGCTGCACGAGTCATCCTCTGCTCTTTAGCCTCCGTTTGGCGTTGCTTTGCCACTTCTATCATCCCTGCGGAAACCAAATCTAATGCCTCAGATTGCTGCTCAGGTTCCTTAGCACTCAAAGATTTCCGACCAGATGAAGTTGAGCCTGCACTCAGGACCGAAGTATAGAAATCTCTAGCTTTGTCAACTGTGTTCAATCTGTAACGTGTCCCAGCATGGCTCAAAACGATACCCATCGGAATTTCCCATCTGAATGGCATCGATCTAGCTTTAAGCTCATTGGTTAAAAAAGCAAAGTCTTTCCTACTTCTTAAAATTTTAGATGGGATTTCCTTTAGAATGATGACATCTTGGGCGGCAATCTGAAATCTTTTGTTGTAAAAAACTTGTATAATCTCATTCCGCAGGGACTTCTTTGTAAAGTAAATCACCACATCTCTGGGCAAATTCTTCTGCTTAGCAATCCAGGAGTTGAGTCTATAAATTTTTTCTACTTCTCTCTGTAATTCTCCTTTATCCATATCCAAAGCCAGCGCCAGATCACTAAGAACCACCTCCATCAAATCTTGATTCATATCTTCCTTGAGGCCTCTAATCCTCAGAGCATACTCCATTTGTCTGTATTGAAACATCAAAATATCTTCTTGTGAGGAGTCCACCTTCCTTTCCACGTCTTGAATTTTGTCATCTAAAGAGTCAACTTTGTCTTCCACTTCCTCAAGCCTTGCATCGAGCTTAACCACCACAGTAGCCAAACCTGAAACAGCTGCCAGTATATCTTGTCGTAATTCATTATTATTTTCTTGCAATTTAGACTTTATCCCCGTTATCTCTTCTTTGAGATCAGATTTAATTTCTGATTTAATCTGTGAAACAAATTGAGTCATTTCCTCTCTCATTTGAACTACAATCTCTCCCATTATGCCTCTAACCTCTTGCACTGAAAGTCCAGGTAGAGGAGGGGAGGGTGGTGGCTGAGCCGGTGGTGCATGTTTAGATTGTTGTTGTAGCTGTGCAGTGGAAGTTATAGGAGAAGAAATAACCTTGGGTACTGAGGAAGGCTGCTGCCTCTTTGAAGCCATTTTAAAAAGCACAATTGTCACTTCCCTTTCCCCTCCAGCCAAAAAGGGAGGAGGAAAAAAAGAAAAAAAGAATTTTTAAAAAGAGACAAACTATAATCATTAAAAGTCCAGAATAAATCCCAAGAATAAGTAATAAAAGAGCAAACAATTCAAAAAAAAAATTTTCTAAGCCAAAAGCAAAAGCAAAAGCAAAAAACAATCCTTAAAAAGGGAAAGTAAAACAAAAGAGAAAGGAAAAAAAAACTCCGACACTTTCAAAACGCCATCTTAAGTCCTTTCACTAGTATAACAAAGAAAAGGAGGAAAAATAGTAAAAATCAAAAGATAAAAAAATAAACACCTAAAATATAAGAAAAAGTCCTTTAAACTGCTCCGTCCGTTTAAAAATTACTCACCAAAATGCTGTAAACACGGAGATAGAAGCGGCGGTTTCTTTTGCTTCCAAGGAAGCAAAAACAGCTGGGAGGCGGAGATCAGCAAGAGCTCCGAGGGAACACTCCTTTCACCCCCTCTAGAAATAAATCCAGAGGGGGTTCAGGGGTTCTACCTCTACTCTTGCGTTCTCTATCCCTTCCCTTTGCCCGGGAAGGGATTTCCGAGCCGCGGGCCAGCTGATGCGCGCTGCGCTCCGCGGCTCTAACACTTCCCCAGCTGGACGGCTAAAAGCTAGCCGCCATCGCCGTCGCCTCCCACCGGAAGCCCCAATACTCTTTACATTTTTGTACAAACTCTCCCCGAGTAAACAAATTCTCATTCAGTCTTCAAGGCCTTCTGTTCCCACCTTCCAAGTATAGCTCCATCCACACAGGACTATGGTCTGAAAGGGTCCTAGGAAAGATTTTTACCTTTCTCACCCTAGAAAATATCCCACTTTTTTGACAACTCAAGGCAAACCTGAATGTATCATATAATTTTATCCATATGACAACAATCCTATGAAATTAGTTAAGTTGGGAAAGTAACTGGCCCAAAGTTGTCTACTGGGGTCAATAACTGAATGGGAATTTATATTCAGGCTTCCTCAGTTCATTCCCAAAATCTCAATCTGCATAGCATAAAATGAAAAGGGTGGCATACATTTAAACTATTAGGTGTTTTTTTGCTATTTCTTAAGTGGATCTTTGCTGATTAATTAGAAGAGCTGAAAATTTAGAAGTGACTTGATAAAAAATGGGTTGAGTAGGAAATGAAGGGATATCTGGTTTATTTTAGGAGACAGTGATGAGTTGTTGATGAAGCCACTTATGGAATTTTTGTGAGAAACTTAGAGAAATATAATTTTGATGTTGGGATTTGACAATTGGAATTATATGGGATTATAGAAACAATGCAGACTATTTTTAATTTTAGAGTAAGAGTTGGAAGTATTTTTTTTTTTTTATCTGTATGATAAGGGTAAAGGACAAATTGGCTGTCCTAGTCTGACTATAAGTAGATTATTATACAGAAAACCCTCTAGTGCAGTGATGGCGAACCTTTTAGAGACCGTGCCCAAAAACTGGCCCGCCCCGCTCCACCCCCCCGCCTGCCCCTGTTCTGCCCCCCATCCCCCTCCCCACTTGCCCACAGGACCACTCACCGCTTCCAGGGCCCACCGCAATCGCCCAGGCAGCTCAGCAGCGCTATGGCAGCCACACCCTCTGCCCGCGCCCTGCAGCATCAACTGCATGATGGGGAGTGAGGGCAGAGTCTTGTCTACACTGCCTGGCTGCCATGTCCTTGGCTGCGCTGGTCCGTGTGGGCCATGCTCGAGGGCGAGTGTCCTTCAGGAGGGCTGCTGGAGATGAGGGGGTCGCGGGGGGAGGCAAGGCTGGGGCAACGGCATGTGTGCCCACAGAGAGGGCTCCGAGTGCCGCCTCTGGCACCCGTGCCATAGGTTCGCCACCACTGCTGTAGTGTGTAGACTTGCTTCTAATTTATTTTCCATCCTACCAATTCCTTGTAGGTTTCTAGTTGGTTTAAATTAAAAGTTTGGATTTCAGTCTGTCTAAAGAAAATTACAAATTACGAAAAACTCTAAACCAATGGTGAGACAACTGCAGAGATCAGTGGAAAAGCCACTCATTCTTGTCATAATTTCATAAACTTTGGAAACAACCTCCGGGGTAGGAAAAAAAAAAGAGGTAGCTTGGCTTACCACTGGCTCTGACTTTAAATTCAGCCATTCAGACTTGCAGTCCTTAACAGATTACAGTACTACAAATTTATGGGGTTTTGGTAAAGTTTGCCATTCCAGCTCTAAAGGTGTCTGATTACAATTAATTCTCCTCTTCCTTCTCCATAACACAAAGAAAATGAATGGGTGGCAAAGATAGTAAATTGGGCCAACATAGGAACTCCTATATTAAGAATGATCTTCTCAATCTATACAATATCATCATTATTTATTTCATTGCCGGATTTATTGTCCTTTTACCCTGATCTATGAGTATTGTATTATTTTACCTTGGCAATGGCTCAGGATAGGTCACATCCAGAGCTGCAGCCTTAATAACCTTATTTTGGAGAGCTTCTACCAATGCATCATGGTCAATAACTGCACCTAAAAGAAAGGGGATTTGGGGATGACACAGATATAACAAAGAAACATTAAAAGTGAAAATGGATGCTGCTTGTTATGAGATATATAGGTGAATTCTGTACCAGGCACTTGGACTTAAATAAATTTGCTCAGTAGAATTTATTTCCAATAACAAATACTTAGGACTGCAACACCTTAAAATAAATATTTTAATTATATTCCACAAAATCTGTCCAAATCCATGATTGTAAATTGCTCAAGAACCGATTGTAAAAGACTTACAAAAGCAATCCTCAACAGCATGTAGAGGGGAGCCAAATTACTATACTAATGCTTAAGATATAATTAATTCTCTACTAACAATAAATTACAATTATACAGCATTGTTCATTTTTTATATAATAGATTAGTAGTTGTGAACAGCAACAAAATCTATACTGTGGATCCTATCATTTCATTTGTCAGATTTCTCTAACATCCATAGAAAAAAATACTGCAGCAAATGCTCACATTTCAATGTTTATTCACAAGATTCTATTTTTTTAAAAAAAATATCATGAAATGACTAGATGATCTGTTTATTGCATCACTTAATAAATTTGTTACCTCTTTGATATTTTTGATCTGGAAAGAATAAGTTGTGTTAGAAGTATAGTCTTATTATTTTAACAAGAAGCAGTTCAATTTGATTGACACCAACAGTAGTTTGTCCATCTAAATTTTAATCTAATATATTTTGCTTGACTGAAATTTTGTCAAGAAATAATTAAGAAAAAGCTCAGATTACAGATCCGCCAAGAGTGTTTTTGAAACCACTGATGGTTTAAACAACAGTAATATACATTTGGATAGTGTTGCATCCTACCTCTGCAGATATTGATGAGTGTAGCTGTGGGTTTCATCAGTTCTAGCTCTCTCTTTCCTATGAGATTGTGAGTCTCTGATGTCAAATTTACAACCAGCATCACAAAATCAGACTGTTGAAGCAAGTCATCAATGTTTTTACAATACACGGCACCAACCTCTTGTTCTTTTTCCTCTTTTCTGGGAGAAATAAATGTGAAAACAATTTTTTTATAAGAGCTTCTCATGGTGGAGTTATTTGGGAGGCACAATCACTGAACAGCATAAATGAGAAATACTTTCCATTCTTCAAGAGCTTGCTATTTTAAGTCTAAATACAGCATTCCATTCCAGTGTTTTTCCTATTCAGTGCAGCCTATGAAAATATCTGTGGTTCTTCTTGCCTTGCATAACAAACTTTTTGTTGTTCCAAAAATAAAAGCTGCAGAGTATTTGTTAAATGTGCCGGTTGTTAGTAACAACTCAAAATCCACACAATGGTTGCTTACATAGATTATTCTCCATAATACTAATGAAACATGGATTTGAAGAAAGCATGTTTGTGCGTGCTGCATTATGTATATATCTGACATCTTTTTTATTAGCAACCTGATGATGAATTAGATCCTAAATTTGCTTCTAAAGAGCATTCTCTCCAGAAACAAATATAAAATTAAAATAGTTTGTGATTACAGGGTTTACGATTACATGGCTGCTACTTATTGATGAAATGGCATCTGAGTAAAGCCATGTGAGATGTGGAATACATTATGATGTCTCAGAAGCCATGCTGCTAGCTTCTGCTTCAGAGCAGATCTGAAGCAAACCTGGCAACAGATGTCACATCCTTATTAATTGCCGGTGTTCAGGGAAATGGGATGTTCATAACTAGTCTCAATCCAATAGCTCAGTGGTTCTCAACCTTTTTAATGCCGCGACCCCCAACCGGTCGTAACTTGAGGACTACTCAACTGGTCGTAAGTCGAGGACTACTCAACTGGTGCAGCACCGTTTGCAGAATGGGACTTTTGGCGGGCTCAGCAGGGCAGAGACAGCCTGGACAATTCCTATTGGCTTTTGAAAGCCAATAGAATTAGACTCTATTCAAGAGAGTCTATTCTATTGGCTTTCAAAAGCCAATAAAATAAAAGGGAGTAGCACAGCTGAGGAAAAGGGGAAAAAAATGGCGGACTGCGTTGTTTGGCGACCCCCGTGAAATGGTCGTTCGACCCCAAATGGGGTCCCGACCCACAGGTTGAGAACCACTGCAATAGCTTAATAACCTTTGGATTTAATTTGCCTGAATGTTTATGCATTTCTATTGCCACTCTAATAACACTAAGGAAATATATATTTCACTGGGCCAAGTTCCTGCAAATATATATATATAGTATTCATAATTTCAGTTCTAGTCAAGTTTTTTGGCCAAAGATCACCGCTAAAGGGCAGTTAGTAGAAAATATTTTTAAAGGCTCTCCAATGCTACTAAATGAGTTTCATATTTAAATCCCAAAATATATAGTATATTGCAGGGATTTTCAAACTTGGCCCTTTTATGACTTGTGGACTTCAACTCCCAGAATTCCTGACCCAGGCACGCTGGCTGAGGAATTCTGGGAGTCGAACTTCACAAGTCATAAAAGGGCCAAGTTTGAAGACCTCTGGTATATCGTACCCTATCATATATCATACCAACATGTCATATTATACCATATCACATCTACAGTATATGTCTCAAAATACATTTACCTCCGATTCCTATTGTGATAGAGAATCTTCATGTCAAAAGCCTTTGCCCTCTTGGCCACTTTATAACCAATGTTGCCCATTCCAATGATACCAAGAGTGGCCCTGCTGACTTCTACTCCTAGCCAATTAACAGCAAAATTCGTAGTATCTGGAGACATTGCAAGATGACAACCTACCACACAAAAAAAGAAATTGAATAAAAAATATTAAGAGAGGTATCTGTTCTAGTGGGATAAAAATTATGCTTCCCTTTCTCTCTTGTGGCTTCCTAGTTCTTTCCTACGACCCTAAACAGCAGCGGTTAGTCTTATTATCTGGCATTTATCCACCTGCCTGCTAGGATTTTGGCCAAAGAGGAAATCCCTCCTCCTTCCTGATTTCTAAGTATACCATTTCTGCAGAAAAAAAGACTGACAAACAGATCTAATTGTTCTTGTGGTGTTAAGGGGCAAGTCCTTGATGAATAGGTGAGTGTGTTCAGAAATATTTTGGCTTATATTACATGTTGATATTTACCTAAGTAACTTCTGCAGAACATTGTTATAGAAAAAAATAAATTGGAGAACAAATCAAGACAAAAATACAACTGAATGCAATTGCTTAATCTCAACTCATTTTTAAAATTATTTAACAATACTTGTAACCTCCCAATTTTAACAGCATTAAAAAAACGAAGTATGAAGAGTTGAAACAATCATGTGATCCTTTAGTATAAGATTCACAGAATGCTTTCCAGACTGGATATACCTCTCTTCTAAAGATGCTACATTCTCTCTCCTTTCCTTCCACTACAGATAGTCCTCGCTTAACAACCACAATTGGGACCAGAATATTGGTCATTAAGCAAAGTGTTAAGTGATTTCCCACATGACTGCTTCACTCAACAACCACAATCCCTGCACTCACAGGTTGCAGTCATTAAGCAATTACGTGGGTCGTTAAGTAGGCCAAGTCCCAGGTAAGGAGTATGGGGTGTCTCTTGGGGGGGGGGGGGTAGAGAACACTCTGGGAGGTTCTGCTTAGGAGGTAAAAATCCTTCCTGCTGAAATCCAAGCAGGATTTTCAGCCCCTGGGGGAGAAACACTTGTGCATGGCCTGCAATGGGCCTCTCCCACCTCTAAGGCACCCTTGTGTTGTTTCCTTACCACGCTGCCTCTCCACTCAGGAGTTGAAAATCCTGCTTGGATTTCAGGTCCCTCTCGTCTCTAGGGGCTGGCTGACAGACTTCCATGGGGTGCAGAAACAGATTTTAAATCATCAGGATTTAAGTCCCATTTCTGCGCACGTCAGTTCCCATCTGTGCCTGGAAAGAACACCTTTGGTGGAGTGCGTGAATGGAGTTCATATCTTCAGGATCTGAACTCTTGTTTCTCCACCCCACTGAAGGAGTTCAGCTCCCTTCCGCACATGGAAGGAATGCCTTTGGCGGGGTGCAGGAGTGGAGCTGAGACTTTCTGTTTCTCCATCCTGCCAAAGGAGTTCAGCTCCCCTTCGCACCTGGAAGGGAACATCATGAATGGAGTTCAGACTTTCAGGAGCTGAGCTCCATTTCTCTACCCTGCCAAAGGAGTTCAGTTCCCCTCAGCAGGCAGCTCTTTCAGCCAGCCCCCAGAGAGAAGAAGGAGTCCTCTCAGCAACTGACAGCAGTTTGCAATCTTCCTTGCCAGCTTCTCCACTGATTTTCTAGGGAAGGAGTTCCCTCACAGAGGGGACATAGAAGGATAGCCTGGAGGGCTTCAGATTGAATCACATCGGATTAAAGCAGTGTTTCTCAACCTTGACAATTTTAAGGCATGTGGACTTCAACTCCCAGAATTCCACAGCCAGCATTGCTGGCTGTGGAATTCTGGGAGTTGAAGTCCACATGCCTTAAAATTGTCAAGGTTGAGAAACACTGGATTAAAGTATTCTAAGTGGCAGGAGTTGACTAATATCTCTAAAAATCATATAGAGGAAACATGGGTGTTATAGTATCAATTTTACAATGATATTTGTTGCTTTTTTACAGCTCTAATTCTTTCTCACTCAAGCAGCTAGTTGAAAATAAGTATGTGAAGAAACAGATGGTGGGCTTAAAACAATCATAGGAAAAGCTCAATATTAGCCAAACAACTGCAGAAGAAACTTATTTACCTTCAACTAATCTTCTGGCAGATGCTAACATTAATGCCATCCCAATGTCCGCAGTAGAATCAGAAACAGCGTGTGGAGTGTTGGTCACTTTAACTCCAAAGCTACTAATTAATTTCAGATTCAAATGATTCACTCCTACTCCTGAGTTTCCAATCACCTTTAGGTTGGGCAGGCTTTCAAGAAGCTCCTGGTCAATGGCTGGTAGACGCTCAAATACAAAAACAGATTTGATCTTTTCATGGGATTCTTCTTTGCTTTTCTGAAATTCCTTCATGGTGACGAGATTGAAATGCTTCTTGAGAAACTCTACGTGGCTTTCTAATATACCAAATGCACCGCCTATTTCAGAGATCAAAACACTGGGCAGTTCTTTTTCCATAATCTAGATAGATAGATAGATAACCTTTATTGTCATTTGTTACCGTGGGCACACTGGCGCACATTAAAAATGAAATTCTGTTCCCTGCTCTCAAAAGTGTACACATACATAACACACATATAAATATGCTATATACATACATATGTATATACCTACACCCTTACATATAAATACATATAAATATTAATCATTGAAAGAGAAGATAATGATCAGAAACATTCAACTGAGAAAGCAAGTAAGTGTTAAGAAGTATTTAATCTTTTAAATAACCAAAGATTGAAGTTTAGCATACTGCCTGGAAATTCAGGATTAGGGAAGAATTGCTTGGGTTTTGACATTTGTATACTTATAAAGATAAGACTCTTGAGTGGGAAGAATATATTGGCTTGTAAAATACTATTATTTTAAACTACTGTTTGGTGGAGTCTGTACATAACATTTCCTAAAGAATGGTGACATCTTCTGTTACTGATCTTAATGGACAGACAATAATCACTAGGAATGGGTGATTAGATCCCCAAATCCTAAAAAATGAAGGTCTTTTAGGAGATAACCATTATGTACTGCACTGCATTATCATTTCTGGGCCCAGGTCAATGTGTTGACATTAGCCTACATATCTTAAATAGCTTGGAGTCAGGTTGCTAAAGAAATATCCCAATATGCCAGGACTACACAGCACTTTAGATTCAATCCCCGAAATATGCTTTAGATTATGCTAAATCACAAATGTAGCACAGAAGCTGGATCTTTCCTTCGAATATGGATAGCCTACTGCAAGTGATCAGTAACGGCATATCCTGTACATTCAATTCATATTAAAGGCAGTTTGAAAGGATAATCACTAGTTGTCACTCATCTATTTTTTATCTGCTTATTGTGCAGTAGCTTAACATGGTTCTGCTTATAGAGCTAGCCAAAATATTTTGCTTATAGAGCTGGCCAAAAATCCCAGTTTCTTAAAATGATCTAAACTCATTACTTCAGATGTTATCCTCCACAGTGCTTTCTCTTAAGATTTGTAGAACTTGGAACAAGAGGCACTTCTCAGATGGTTATACTTGGCTTAAAGCCTATTAGCTACTGACCCCTAAGTTAATAATGCCCTCAGTCAAGTCCTTCTTGCCCCAATGGATAAAAAGCAATTTTAGCTATTTTTAATCCATGAAAAAAGTCCAAGCACTTAGTTAAGTAATATGTTTTTGGAGCCCAACCAAGATCTCCTTCTTCAATAAAGATTATGAAATACATTTTCATTTATGGACTGAAATTAGGTCTATAGCAATCTTGAGCTAATATAATTCAGTGTATCTGGGATCTTCAGTGTGGTGCCAAAGCACATCAATGAGTCCCTCAGTGTCTATACAATTCTTTCCCTCTCAAAAGTTTTAAAACATTCCTTTAATTTTAAAAGAGTTAGATAGCTGCCAAAATACCACCAACAGAGTCATCAGTAAGGCCTCTCAGCCCCAAATGATCATACAGGTATTTTCGGAAAATAAAATCTATGATTGGCCCATCTCATTATTTTGCTAGGAACTGTGTCCATTTTCCTAGAAAAAGACAAAGTAAGTTGGGGGTGATATGTAGCATCTTGAGGGCAAGAAGGGGTGGCATGGAACATCCTCATCAGCAGTTAATCATCTGATACATTTTGTGAATACCTGTTTACTTTTTGTGAATACACAAGTCCCTTCTCCATAATGGGCATTCTGTGAAACTGTCCCACGACAGGTTCTCAGAATTCTAAATATACCCACTTGTTGGCCAAAGATTTGGATGTATTGAATGAAATCTTTTAACTTTTGCAATATTTTTTTTTCTGGTACTAACCGTGGGTTGATATGCACTTAGTAGTGTTTCCCCAGTGCTCTTTCGGTTAGTCTTGCAGCGCTGAACACAAGTAATGTTTTTCTTTGCCCATTTAAACCAACGTATCTCTGCCAAACGAAAAGCTTTACATCTGAACATAATTCCTAAGTTTTTGATGCTGAAAAAAATGTGTTAACATTGGTTTAAGAAATAATTATCAGAAGCTGGGCTAATGGGGACATCAATATACAAAGCAACAGACATTCTTAAAAGTATGCTCTGCCACACATTGTAAACACTGAAAAGGAAGGAAGCAAGGAAGTCTTCCAGTTTTATATTCAGCTATCATATATGTATTGGAAGAGTTTACAAGCTGTATTAGAATAATAAAGATGTAATATAGTTACTGAAAAGTTCCATGTCACATTTGTCTTTTCATATGTTTAGAGTTTATGTGTACAGAAACACTGAAAATTAGACAGAAGGAAAAGGTTGAATTAGGAAAATTCCTCAGTCAGCCATTCAGTACTTCGAAAAACTATGGCAAGTAATTTTGTTATAGTTTAATCTACTAGTCATAGTTATTGGCAGATAAAATATTATTACATATTTCACTTGCCACAAGTTACCAAGAAAATTGCTTGTGTCCATAGTCTGTGAGAATCAAAATTGAGTTGAACAAGTCATTATTTACACTTTTTTTCTATCTGAAAATATTAAATGACTTGGTTCTTAACATTGTGCTAAGCCAAAATTTAGTGTTGTTTTTTTTTTAATCCTAGCAAATTGCATGAACCAAGGCAACTGTGTTTTCCTCAAGAAGCCATTTTTGATAAAATCTGACTTAGGATGTTATTCTATCCTGCAATTCAATAGTATCTTTTGTCCTAGTTTCTTTGTGACTGAGTCCAAGTCTTTGATCAGTTTGAATGCCTCAGCACCGGCGCTAGCATTGAGTTTACTAATGATTAGCCATAGTAATAGAACCCACTGAATCACACAGCATAGGATAGGCAAACTGAGAAAATCACTCTGAACTAATATGGATGGGCACTTTACTATCCAAACACAGTCACTGAATCATAAATTAGCTAACATTTTAGTCCAGCATATTGTATGAGATCAGCCAATCAAAATGAGTTATCAGAAATCAATTATTTTTCCACGCGATGAGCTTTCTCTTTGATTGTCTATATAGAGAAATCAAACAACATCTTTTATTTTAATCTTAAATATATAAGATTATATATTTAATATTTATCTAGATATTAATAGAAATAGTTTGGTATAGTAGTGAAGGTGCTGGCCCAGAAATGGGGGATTTCGAGTTCATCTAGCCTCCCTTAGGCATGAAAGCTGGCTCGGGGGACTTTGGGCCAGTTCTCCCACAGCCCAATTCACCTCACAGGGTTGTTGTTGTGAGGAACAGAGGAGGCAAGAATATTAAGTATATTCGCCTCCTTGAGTTTTTATAAAAATCTAATAATAGAGATACAAAAGAGATACAGAGAAATATCTACTTATGTTACTAATTATTGCTACTCATAAGCGCTTGCAAGAAGGCAAAGGTATAATTAGGCTGAGAAATCTGTTCTCGCTCTCCCTAATATTGTTTGCTTACGGATAGACCCGAAGAATCAGCCATAACGTGGGAAAGGAGGAAATCTAAAATTCCGCTACGCTCAGCGAACCGCCTTCTCCAGTAACTGATAGCGAGGGAGGAAGAAGGGCGGGGACAGCCCTGATATTTGGGTTTGGGGTTTTTTGTTTTGCCACGCATTGTGCCCTCAATAGAAATAGATGGGTTCTTTCAGGCGCTGACACCTATCTCTCCGCAAGGGCAGCCCCTGCCTAAACTTTCTACTCAGCGGACTTCTCTCGCTGACTGATCATTTCTCTTCTTCATTTTCCCCCTTTTTCCTATCCCGCTTTGACCTCTCCGGAAGTGACGGAGAAAACAACGAATGCTGGCGCCGCTTCCTCCCCTTGCGACGCTCTAGGGTTTTTCTTTGGCGTGAGCGTTGGCGGGCTTTCGGCCATGGTCCTGCCGGGTTGTTTGCTTCTTTGTTTTTGGTGAGTGGTGGAAGAGCTGATGAGAAAAAGGAGTTGTTGTACGCTGTGGTTCGAAGGCGGTTCCCGAGGCAGTGGGAATGATGCGGGCGGAGGAAAAGGGGAAGGAGGGAGAGGTAGGCGAGGAAGAAGGGGTACGTGTTCGAGAATTGTGTTTTGTTCAACCTTAGCCATTTTAAGATGTGTGGACTTCAATTCCCAGAACTCCCCATCCTGCTTGCTGGGAAATTCTGGGAGTTGAAGTCCATGCATCTTAAAAACGGCCAAAGTTGAGAAACGCTGCTGTAGGGGATAGCATGCTGCGCTCCAAAGAGCTTGGAGATTAGATCTGTTTTCTGGGGCTGGTCTTTGAATTCACAAAAAAGCCTTAAAGCTTATGTTGCTCACATCACTCTTTTTTTTTAACTAGGAAACCACCTGCTTTTTAGAGAGTTTCTAAAAAGTCTTTAATTTCGCTGTGTCTTGTTATATCATTGTCCTATAGAATCGGCTATATAATTGGTGTTCAAACAAAAAATTATAATACCCACTGCTTAACTAAAAAAAAAAAATGACAGGCTGCAAAGTTTTCAACAACTGAACCATGCATCAATATGCTGGAAACACCAAGGTATCTTAAATATTGATATGGCATGTTTTGAGTAATTGCAAAGACCTGGTGAGCCCCAGGCCACCAAGATTAATGACTTATCATCTTGCCTGAGAAGTCTGCAGTAAAATCCAAGTTGCTGTATTAACCCAGAAGTTCTGTCCCTTTGTCGTTTTTTTACATATTAAAAGAATGGATCCTCAGATTCCTCAGTTAGGATAACACTTTGAACTATGCATAGCTGAGGGCTTGGGAGGACATTGCTGATGAAAGGGCAGAGATACTGCAGAATTTGCATGCCATGCTAGGTCAATATTGGGGAAAGATGCTGAATTGGGAGTATTGTACTAGTAATCCTGAGCTCCAGTGTCCTTAGCTTCTAGATTAGGGCTTTTCAACCTTTTCACCCATTGTACCACTTTTAGGATATGGCAATATCCGAGTACCACCAGTTGCCTAGCAAGGTGTCAAAAACGTGATGACAAAAAAAAGGAAAAAAGTGATAAAGTACAGGTAGTCCTCGCCTTACAACAGTTCGCTTAGTGACTGTTCGAAGTTACAATGGCACTGAAAAAGTGCTAGCCAAGCCGAGCAAGACACCTACCTGTCCTCTTGGCGGCGCTCTTCCCCCTGTCCGAGGTTTTCATTGTTGTGAGTATTTCTGTTGAGGATTGGCAGCAGGGGTGGGGTGGGGGGGTGTTTGGTTTTTATTCCCCCCGTCTGCTGGGTGGTTGCAGCAGGTTTTGGTCACTTCACATGACCCTGGGACACTGACCATCATAAATATGAATCAGTTGCCAAGCATTTGAATATAAATCACAAGACCCTGGAGATGCTGCAATATTCCAGCTGATCGGTGCTTCTTCTGGGCTCAGCAGAAGTGCCAGGATCAGTGCTGCTTTCCAGCTGATTGGTGCTTCTTCAGGGCTCAGCAGAAGCACCAGGATCAGTGCTGAGCTCCAGCTGGAGCTCAGCCCTGATCCTGGTGCTTCCACTGAGCCCTGACAGCCCCGAAGAAGCGCCTATCAGCTGGAAAGCAGCACTGATCCTGGCGCTTCTGCTGAGCCCTGACAGCCCTGCAGCTCCAGCTATCTCTCGCTCAGGCTTGTGTGGTGCTGCCACCGGTTCAGCTCATTCCCCTCCCCCGCTACAACTTTTCTAGGATGGTTGCATACCACCTGCTGGGTGCCAATGTACCATAGGTGGTACCACCTGGTTGAAAAGTCCTGTTCTAGATAGTGTAAACCAAGTCTTCTCATTCTGCCTTCGTATGGAAATATACAAAAAAAGTAATAATGTTTTACTCTTGATTTCTTATGCTTATTCTCTTTTGTACCTCAAAAAGATTATTTGGATTAATCCAAACACACCTATATGAGTTGCCCTATAAGTGTATGCTTGGAACTGAAGGGAATACATTATTGACAATTGCAAATATGACAACAGTGATTGCCTTTTATTCTGTTTTAGGTAATGTGAAACGTGACTAGACTTCATGTACTTCACCTTAGGGAAGTGAAAGAGAAGTTTCTAAAATTATAAGGTAATATCAGCATTACATATTTAAATGCAAAAGGAACTGCTGTAGTTATGACTCCCATAATATCTTACATTTTTACTATTTGTCTATATAAGTAAATAAGATAAACTTTATTGTCATTTTTTACTGTGGGCACAACGACACAGATCAAAATGAAATTTAGTTGCCCGTTCTCAAAGTAAACACATACATGATACACATCTAAACATACTATATACAAATAAATAATTATTAATGGACCAATGATTGAGTTGGTAACGCAGCAAATAACAAAATGTATTTTAACAATATGTTTCTTAATATAAGTTTCCAGAAGTATTACATTTATGGTTTTCTGCTTTTTAGAAATTTCTAGAAAATTTTCACTGTTGCTCTTTGATTTTTCCCTCCCAAAAACATTCTTTGTATATTCACACGTGCCTTATAAAAATAAAAATGAAGCTGTAATATTTGTTTGTCAAAATTTACTTCAAATTTTTCCATTTACTGGAAATGCAATTTTTCTAGTTATGTTTATGATCACTCAGTTCCTGACTATTTGCAAATCTCCTAGTATTCTCTCTCTGGACAAAAAAAATATTCTGTGAGGTTGAAGGATCTATTTTATTTCACAAATAAATATTTCACTGTATATTTTGGATTCTAATTATAGTTTTGGAAGCTAATCTTAAATTAAAAATGGAATAACTATAAAATAACAGTATCTTGACCTCTTATGTTCATTATTTGGGTGACTAAGCAAACCCTTAGTGTTCTCAAAATTATAAATTGCTTTCTGTACTTCTCTTACAGATCTGATAGACATTTTTCAAGATGTCGTACATGCTTCCACATTTACACAATGGCTGGCAAGTAGACCAGGCCATTCTTTCAGAAGAGGATCGTGTGGTAGTTAATCGGTTTGGACACGATTGGGATCCAACATGTATGAAAATGGATGAAGTTTTATATAGTATTGCTGAAAAGGTATAATGTTTTAGTTGACTTGGAGAAATAACATAGTATTGTGTTTTAATTAATAACATGCTTAGAATATGTGCTTAAGAAAAATGTATTTCTGTTACTAGATATATTTTTCAAAAATAGCGTAAAAAACTGCAATCAAGAAGTGTGAATTTTTTTTCCTGAAAGATTCCCTTTCAGAAAGATTGGAAAACATTAAATACATCTTTGCATTCCAGTGATTTGCTAAACTCACTGAATTTCAGTATTTTATTTTTAGCTATGATGTCTTTACATGCTTTAAGAATGAGCCTTTTACATTCTAAATATAAGAAATGCAATAACAAAAAAGTGAATTTAGATAAATTAAGAGAGAATTGATTTGTCTTTGGTTATTAGTCATGTTTCCTATATATATCATTTAATTCTATTTGCTTAGGGATGTTGCCTTCATGCCCATATATATAACACCATACTGTAAAAAGATGCAGCGCATTTACCTTTTTTTTCCAGCCACAGCCTCTTCACACAGCTTCGCTGCAATTCTTGTCCAGCATTGCTACTACTGAAATATCTCAGAGGGCACTGTGGTTGTGGAGGGTGGTATTTTAATTTGATGCATATGGTATCTATCTATTAGAAAGGCAAAAATATAGAGATGATATGGATGAACAGTGAAAATGGTATGTGAACTGTTGACAAGAATGGTATGTTTTCTGAATTAGAAATCATGGCTTTTGCTCTCAAAAAGGTTAGGAATGGAAAGCGAATAACTTCCTTGCAGCAAGCCCCAAATCTGGCTTAGGTGGTACAATTTATTGTTTTTCTGTTTATTTTAATTGTTTTTACTGAAATACTTTGTAAAATACTTTGTTACAATAAACTAGGATTCCCTGGGATCTTGATTTACTAATGTGCATGAATGCACCATGTGTTTTGTGGCCTCAGAAAGCAAATGTATAAAAAACATGGCAGGAGTGAAGAAACTAAACTGGAAGGGGCAATCTCAATTTCACTTGTAATTATACCCTAACTAGAGAAGTGCAAAATGTTTTGAGTTTGGACTATTTTAAGTTTGCATCAAGAATGTTCTGTCGTTCTTCCAGCCTTACTAGCTGTGTTTTAACCTTGGCCATATTTCAAACTTGAAATATTTCTGGTGAAATTGGAGCAGCCTATTCTGGGCTTAAAATATTTTGTAAACTGTAATTTTTGATTTATGTGAACAATGTAGGGAAGATTGCAGTGATTTGATACTTATAGGTAGGCCTCACTTAGCAACTGTCTTATGATGGTAATGAATAAGTAACTTTATAAGCTATGCTTGCAAGGCTTGCTTTGGAAGCAAGATGGATAGCATATACATTTAATAAATAAATGAAATAAATTTACAACCTTTGCAGCATCTCTTAGCCGTGTATTTTCCATTATAGTCATTACACATTGTCCTGTATCTGACCTGTTTTTTGTTCCTCCCTCCCTCCTTTCCCAGAATGGAGAGATTGCCTAAACAAGCTATCTATTCCTGAGCTGCTTTTCTCCATAGCACAATGCATCCCTAAAAACTGCTAACCTCAAGTTTAAGAAGATCCGCTCTGTGATCTTAATTAGTTGATTAGAACCTTTTGCCTGATGGCAGACTCGCAGC